ACCGACTTGGAAAATGTCATTTTGAGAAAAACGCATTCAAAGTTTCAACTTACTTTTTTTGTTCAGAAGAAATTTTGTTTCCAAGTTACAAAGAGTCATCGATTCCTGGACCATATAATAACTCTTCCGCAGTGGTTGCCGTTTCTAAATCATAGGAAAAGGCCATCTGTCGTTAGGGTCAGGTATGGCTGGCCACCTTGTATGAAGCCACGGGACGCGCCGCTGCAGTGTTCTGTATATCTCATTTATTTTTCACCGGATCAACTTTGAAATTTACAGACACATTTCTAAATATGTATACTTTAAGAAAATGCACAAAAAAAATCGATTTTTTGAAAGTTACAACTGGTGTTCCCCCCTTAATTATTTAAATTTTGGGCTACTAATTTGAGTCCGACATTTTGAATTTTGAAAAACTAATAACGGACTTGTAATCAACGGCCCCAAAAACACCCGAGTAACAAGCTTCAGGCGAATCTAAACGATTTTTCAATTTTTGTCCATCATATTGGATCCGCCATATTGAATTTTTGAATACTAACACCGGACTTGTAATCAGCGACCCCAGAAACCCCCGAGTAACAAGTTTCAGTCAAATCTAAACGATTTTTCAATTTTTGTCCGCCATATTGGATCCGCCATTTTTGATTTTTGAAAACTAACACCGGATTCGTAATCAGCGACCCCAAAATCACTCGAGTAGCCACTTTTGTAAATTTACATTAACTTTTTAAATTTTTCTCATGTTAAATTTACCCGCCTTTTACTTTGTAGTTTTCTTTTTGTCCGCTAGGTGGTGACATCTAAGTTGACTTACTAGCGAGACGCATATGGAAATATATAAGTATAGGATAGATTTAGGTTAAAATATTACGAATTTTTCGTAGACTTTCGCAGGTGAGTAGTGCTTTTGTGTTCTATACGTTTAAATCAGTTCTTTTCAGAGATATTCTGTTTCTTTCTTTCTTTTCTTTTTTTTCTCTTCTTTATTTTCTTTCTTTTTTTCTTGTTTTTTAAATCTTAAATTTTTTTTTGCTTTTTTCTTTTCTGGTTTTTTTTGTTTTTTGAGATTTTTTCAAAGACATTTTTGAGAAAAAATAATCTTTGTCGAAAGATTATCTTTTCCGTGAACATTATTCTGATATGTACTGTTTATTGCTGCCTTAGTTTTTAAGTATTTAAATACTTAAAAACTATTTTTGTTGTTCATTGTAGAATTTAGATATTCTTTTAGTTTTTGATATTTCAATATGTCAAAAACTAGGGAGTATTTAGACAGGTGTTTCAATCCATTAGAAATACCAAATCATCGTGGAAAAGGTTTACGTCCAATTTCAAAAAAAATTCGTGAAAGGTTTCCTGATGCTCATGTCAATTCGAAGATATATGCTAATTGTAGGCTTCAACTTGGAAAGCAAAATAATGCCTTTCATTCGAAACAATTTGATCCTAACAATATCAACTCACATAAAACCGTTGATACTGATATGATCAATAACAGTATCAGTGATTCAGAAACAGATGGTATTCCATTTGTTAAATCTTTTATACTTGAAGAGTTAGAAGATTTATTTTGTGGTTTGAAGGACAAATTCTTAAGCTTGCCTGCAAATGATCCTATAAGATTCACGATTCTTACCGTAGCTCCATTATCATGGAGCATTCGCAAAATAGCTACAGAATTTGGAACCTCACGACGATCAGCTAAAAAAGGCCGGAACTTTAAGATAGAATAGTAAAGTTTAAGCTTCAACCACTTCTAAGGCTGGAAAGAGGTTACCTGAAGAAACTGTGAATAAAGTTATCGAATTTTATATCAGCGACCTCTACAGTAGAGTGATGTCTGGTAAAAAAGATACTGTATCAGTAAAAATTGATGGAAAAAGATCTGTATTTCAAAAACAGATTTAAAAGAGTTGCATCAGGAATTTAAAAAAATAAATTCTAATAACCCAGTTAGTTTTAGTGCATTTTCTAAGCTTCGGCCAAAACATTGTGTTTTCGCTGGAGGTTCCGGTACACATTCTGTATGTGTATGCGTAATTCACGAAAATTGTAAATTAATGCTTGATGCGCTAAACATTAAAGAGATTACAAAAACAATGAATCAACCAATTGAAAATTATAAAGAATGTCTGCGACTCATTACATGTAAGGATCCAACTGCATTATGTCTTTTAGCTAACTACAAAGACTGCCCTAGCATTGAAGACTTCTGAGAAATGATGATAAATATTTTAATCGAAGCATGCATCGAGAGTGTTTTATGCAGTTATGGACATCAACTGACAGATCAAATTTAATAACGAGCAAATTATCGAACATCGAATTTGTTGATGAACTTTGCCAAAAACTAATTAAACTGAAACCACATTCATTCATATCTAAGCAGCAATCAATGCACCTTGAAGATAGGAAGCAAAATTTGAAAGAAGCAGAAGTATTGGTACTGTATGATTTTTCCGAGAACTATGCCTACATTAAGAGAAGAAAAGCACAGAATCCGTAATGTGACGAACGCCGGCCGTGTAAAATGGGTGTCAGTATTCGTTCTTTAGTTTTGTTTAGTTAGTGTCGTTCATAGTTCAGATACTAAGCTCTAGCAGCGCGGCAGCGGTGTGAACTAAGTTCATATCTGTTGTCACGTCACCGTAACATATATATATATATATATTATTTTCTTGCGACAAACACCCGTGCTTTTGTTACGCATTTAAATGCCTTTCTCTTGTGAAAACTCCCGCCCCATTGTCGCGCGACTGAACATCTTTCTTTTATGTATAAATGACCCTTGCGTTTTGTATCTTCCTACGTCTATGTACTAAAAATAAAATTTTTGGTGCATCGCCCGGTGTGAACAGGAAAGAGAATATAAATTTAAAATCTATGCACCAAAAATATAATTTTTGTTGCATCGTCCGCTGTGAACAAGAAAGAGAATATAAATTTAAAATCTATACACTAAAAATATAATTTTTTGTTCATCTTCCGCTGTAAACAGGGAAGAAAAACTAAATTCATTCTTTTTTCTAAAATATTTTTCAAAAATAATGACAGAGGAGAAAAAATTCTTGAACAAATAAATCTAAAAATCCTTTTATTTCTTACTTACATTTAACACAAATGACAATTCTATAAGTGAAAGTCGTTCCAAAAGTGAAAGCAGTCAAAATAATAAAGAAAAGATCAAAAGTCTGGTCATTTGTAAAAAATGTATTAATTGTGGTTATCATATAAAAAAATATAAATAAAATAAAATAGAATAAATTAATGAATAAATCTCTGTTTCAGAAGCAACAACTCAGTTTAAGTTTTTCAAATTTTTTATATCTTCTCTATTTTTAATCCAATAATCAACTACAATAGTTTATTTTCTTCGTAAAAGATGACACTTTAATGCCGATTGAAGAACTAAAAGCAATCACGTTTTTTTTAATCGATAAATTTAAAATTTTCTTTTTTTCAAAAAAGTTACTGTCAGATAAAAACGTAAATTTCTCGCAAACTATAAGTCTAATTGAAAAATGTCATCAATACTTTTTTGTAGAGAATTTAATTAGCTTTAATATGAGCACAAAAAAATAAAATCGGGTGAGTACTTACCGAGATATTTGCAAATTAGTGTAGTATAAATTTTTGTTTTTCTGATTTTAAAAATTTTCCTATACATTTTTTTTTATTATTTTTAATATAAAATATTATTTATTTACACACACACACAAAATACATACATACATACATTAAAATAATATATATTAAAAAATATTTTTCTTTTTACACTAAATCCGAAATTATATTTTTTTTATAATAATACTGCCGGCCCATAAACCACCTTGCCCCTTGATGAGACTTTCTCATCTCCTTCACAAGTGCAACTTTTAAATGCACGGGATATCCGTGCCATTCGTATGGAAGCGTATATGTCACTCCATCTTACAAGAGCTCTGGATATACCCTTTCGAACTTTTTTCCTCCCAATTCAATAAAGGCTTTTGCGGGAACCTGTAATAATGAATTTTTTTTTTATTTTTCATTTTCAATACAAATTATTGAACAATATTTAAAATATTAAAAATTAAGTTACTTACTACCACTATTTGATTATTCTTTATAGAATAATATATACCCCTCACATGGTATACTCCTAGTGGTCCTTGGCGGTTATACTCCGCCACTAATTCTGTCCTTTTGTCAACAGACCTTAACTGTGTGGGTAATTCCACTGCCACTTTGTCGAACTGGATGTAATGATTCCCCGCATGTTTTTTTTGAGCACTTCCTCTTCACCATCACTTTTCTTTTTCACTCCTACGGAAACTGCCTCCTCATTTACACTTTTAATTTCTTCTAAATTGACTGACTCTATTTCGCTTAAATTTGCCATAAAGTTTGTGAAATCTAAATCGCTGAGAAACTCCTCTATTTCACTAGGAGAAAACTTCTCCTCTTCAAAAAATGTATCTAAATCGATACTACAATCTTGAGTATTTTCGGACAACATCGCGTTAATGATAAATATAAGGCACTGATCTTTCTTAAACTAAAGTTTTAAACCCATCCTAACATCCTTTTATAATTTTTGGACATTTTCTCCCCACCTCTTGTACAATTTTCCCCACTTTTACAATTTTTCCCTTTTTTTCACAAATTCCTTACTATGACCATTTTCCAAAAACTATCTTTTCATTTATAACACCTTTGTTTTTTCCCTCAAAATATATAGATATATATATAATGTATATATAAGAACAAAGTTATAAAAAAAACGGACATACCTTATTCTTTCTCCATTTATTCTAAAAACGTACCTAAAAGTTCAAAAAGGAATTTTTTTTTGTTTTCTCTCAAAAATATATATATACATTTAAGGAAAAGAAAAAAAAAAGTAAAGTAATAAAAAAAATAAACATAGAATTAAGAACACTCTATATCTTTTAACTTGTAACCTTTTAAAAAATTTATGACCTTACCTAACTGGATCCTAAATTCTTTTAGGTAATATGAACGCGCAAACTACGAAAAGGGTAATTTCTCCAGTAACAGATTTGGAGAATTTAGCCATTACATTCTCGTTTACAAAACCTATATACTTAATACCGGAATCGAGGGACCAAGACATAGCGACATGTTCTATAGAACATGAAAATGATTATTTAGAAGCAGGGACTGACACGGAAACGAAACAAAACGCCAAATGAATTTAGTTTCGTATCGTGTTCAATCACAAACACATTTAATAATTTATAATGTTTTCGTGTCCTGACCGGACACATTTAAAATAATTAAATGTTTTCGTGTCCTGACCGGATACTTTTGAAATAATTAAATGTTTTCGTGACCTGACCGGACACTTTTGAAAAAATTAAATGTTTTCGTGTCTGGACACGCCACTTTAAATTTTTTTAATGTTTTCGTGTCCTGACCGGACACTTTTGAAATAATTAAATGTTTTCGTGTCCTGACCGAACACTTTTGAAAAAATTAAATGTTTTCGTGAACTGACCCGACACTTTTGAAAAAATTAAATGTTTTCGTGTTCGGACACAACACTTTTAAAACTTTTAAATGTTTTCGTTTTCGGATACGACCTACTTTCTCATTGAAAAATGTTCTCATAAATAAAACTTGTTAGGCGATTGATTTTAAAGGATTAATAGTCATTAATGTTATTAATGCGAAGCAAATTTTTTTCAATGCATTAATCATTACCACAGTGATCGTTACCACAGTGATCGTTACCACAGTGATCGTTACCACAGTGATCGTTACCACAGTGATCGTTACCACAGTGATCGTTACCACAGTGATCGTTACCACAGTGATCGTTACCACAGTGATCGTTACCACAGTGATCGTTACCACAGTGATCGTTACCACAGTGATCGTTACCACAGTGATCGTTACCACAGTGATCGTTACCACAGTGATCGTTACCACAGTGATCGTTACCACAGTGATCGTTACCACAGTGATCGTTACCACAGTGATCGTTACCACAGTGATCGTTACCACAGTGATCGTTACCACAGTGATCGTTACCACAGTGATCGTTACCACAGTGATCGTTACCACAGTGATCGTTACCACAGTGATCGTTACCACAGTGATCGTTACCACAGTGATCGTTACCACAGTGATCGTTACCACAGTGATCGTTACCACAGTGATCGTTACCACAGTGATCGTTACCACAGTGATCGTTACCACAGTGATCGTTACCACAGTGATCGTTACCACAGTGATCGTTACCACAGTGATCGTTACCACAGTGATCGTTACCACAGTGATCGTTACCACAGTGATCGTTACCACAGTGATCGTTACCACAGTGATCGTTACCACAGTGATCGTTACCACAGTGATCGTTACCACAGTGATCGTTACCACAGTGATCGTTACCACAGTGATCGTTACCACAGTGATCGTTACCACAGTGATCGTTACCACAGTGATCGTTACCACAGTGATCGTTACCACAGTGATCGTTACCACAGTGATCGTTACCACAGTGATCGTTACCACAGTGATCGTTACCACAGTGATCGTTACCACAGTGATCGTTACCACAGTGATCGTTACCACAGTGATCGTTACCACAGTGATCGTTACCACAGTGATCGTTACCACAGTGATCGTTACCACAGTAATCGTTACCTCAGTAATCGTTACCTCAGTAATCGTTATTATTGCTGTGTAATACGTCCATAATTTTTGGAGGCCTCTGTATAAGTTCCCAAAGGTATTCCAACCAATGTTCAATTGAATTTGTTTAAAAAATTTGTTAGTAGTCTTCATTGAATCCAAAACCTTGGAATTTTTTAAAGAAAAAAATTGATTTAGGAAAATCTGGGGGGTAGAAAACGTTCATATTTTTCTGGTGGTCATTACATATGTCCCAAAAGATATTGCAACCAATAAACATTTAAATTTTTTTAGAAAAATATTTAGTACCCATCATTTAATCCAAAAATTTTGAAATTTTTCAGAAAAAACTGGATAAAATTCTAGGGGGTAGGAAAATTTTTCTTTTCTCCTTCTACAAAAAGTATGGACGTTTTCTTGCCCTGAGATTTTGTTCTTAAAAAATATTGTAAATAAGTCACTCTTTTCAGAAGAAATATACAAAAATTACTTTTTTTGGTAATCAATATTTATTTAATTGAAAGTCATTTTTAAATTTCCATAAAAAAAATAATACTGAAAAGTAATATTACAAAATTAGGATTTTGTAAAAATATTACAAATATTATACGATGAAAATTTTATAAATTTAACAAAAATTAATTATTATCTGCTTCTGATGAAACTGTCATCAATTCAGTTTGGCTTATATCGTCGTCTTCAATAGGAATAGGATCAGTGTGAGCTTGTTTTTTTTTCTTTTTTATTTGTTCGCAAGCCTTTTCTTGTTGCAATTTATTAATAAAATTGTGGTTAGTTCGCAACAATAAAATATCATTAAGACTATCATCACTCAGGTTAGTGCGTAAATTAGAGAGAACGAACGCCATTCCAGAAAATAATCTCTCCACACTAACCTGAGTCATGGTGGCTGCGTGGACCACCATTGATAATTTGTATAATTCCGGTAGAATCATTTTCCTCATTTCCCAATAATTCAAAACATCACTTTTGATTGGGATTATTGGGGAACTTTCGAAATCTAATAAGATTTTTTCTATATTTAATTGAGGTGATTTGATCCTTTTTTGCAGTTCCAATTCAATTAAATTTCTTTCCATTTCCAAGATATCCACAGAATCATCATTCATCGACAAGTCGGAAGTCTGTAAAAAATGAAATATTAAACATTTTATTTTGGATTTATGATTGTAATTTTTTAATTTTAAATAAAAATTACCAATTTAGATTAAAATAATTTTTTAAAAATTCCATATCAAATTTTTGAAAAATCTAAGAAAAAATGTTTTTTCCTTAAAACAAAAAAAAATTTATTGAATGAAAATTAAAATAGAAGAAATTATAATTTATTTGAATTAATTGTAAATAAATTTTTAATAATTGCGAATTATATTCTTTACCGGTTCTCCAGTTGATGGCGATGATGATGAAGCGGTATTTCCTGAGGATGATATTGCTTCATCCTCTTCATTGTTTCCACTTTCCATTTTCTTGTATATTTTATTCAATAACTGTTTGGCCACCATTGCTTTATCCGAAGATAGATAGCTCATATACCTTGGGTCCAGAAACATTGAGGCGAGTAATGCTTCGTTTTCAAGCAAATCTTTTTCCCTTGCTTCAATTGACTTGGAAAGGTGGTTTGCGAAGTTTGTTTTAACCTGCATGGTGCGTAATCTGCATTCCCTCCAAATTCCAAAAACATCTCCTGGAAGGAGTTGTTCCGATTGCAATTGGAGAGTTGCAATTTTCGCAGGTTTCAAGGCAGAGATACAATCTTCTATCCTTGTCCACTCTACAGCTGATATGCGAAGATCTTCTATATTTTCTGCAAGACTTTCACAAAAATCTTTTGCAGAAAGCAAAGAAGACAACATATCAGCAGTAGAGTTCCATCTGCTAACTACGTCCAATACAGGCTTATTTATATTGCACCTTTGCAGACTTTTTAACACCGTTGAGGATCTTAAACATTAACCGGCGTTTCTTGCCTGAAACATAAATAATAATAACCATAGCAACCGTTACAATGGAAACCGATACCATAGCAAACGTTAAGATAGAAAACGCTTTATTAATTTTTTTATTCTTATTGAATATTTTTACTTCAATTATTTAAATATTTAAAAAAAAAATTTTATATTTGTTAATAAAAATATTAAATTAATTACTTAAATTAATGAAAAAATTAAAAAACGTAAATTTAATACGTTTGATATTGTTCTCCTCATTTCTCCTTTTTTCAATACATCTGTAACCGCCAGCTGAAGAGTGTGAACTACGCACCGTACTACTGTCACTATTGACAAATTGAAATTTTCAATTTGATCGAGTACGACAATGTCATTCTCATCATTATCATCATTTTCATCATTATCATCATTCTCATTATTAACATTATCTTCATTATTTTCATTATTATCATTTAATGATTCAGCCACTTTTTCAATTTCAGTTGCTTCATTTATGTCTTGGAGCAATTGTGTTGTTTTTATCATGTTTCGCCCATTATCCGAAGTACATGTGTACAATTTTTGCAAATCGATTTCAAAATTATGTAAAATTTCCAACACAACGTCCATTAGATTTTCAGACGTATGCCGCAATATTAGCTCTTTCACAGCCAAAGTACGGAGTTGTATTACTCCGTCCTTTATGAACTGAACGTTCAAGCCAAGGAACGACCTGTTATGCCGAGTTGCAACGTCGTGTTTTAAACTTATTAATGGAACCTGTTAAAAAAATGTTATGTAAAAAAATGGTATTTCATTTTAATATAAATAAATAAACACCTAGTTTCCGTCAAAAAGGCCTCGTAAACTTTATTATCTACAAAAAAATTAAAATTTATAGGATAAGTTCTTCAATTATGGCAAATGCATCAATTACGGCGCTTTTATAAAAAAACATATTATTACTATCCCAAGTAGCACGATATATCAACCAGATGTCACGGTGATATCACCGGGGAATGTCACCGTGACATCAGGAAAATGTCAAAATGTCCGCCTTTCGGTGATATCACACGGTGACATCAAAGTGATATCATGGTGATATCACCGTGATATAATGTTGATATTTTACAGGGATTTAAAATTATTTAAAAATTATTATTTTTTATTATTTTTTTTATTTATTATTATTTTTTAAATTATTAAAAATTTTAAATCTCTGTAAAATATCAACATGATATCACGATGATATCACCATAATATCACCGTGATATGACTGTGATATCACCTTGATGTCACCATGATATCACCTCGATGTCACCGTGTGATATCACCGTAAGGCGGACATTTATACATTTTCCTGATGTCACGGTGACATTCCCCGGTGATATCACCGTGACATCTGGTTGATATATCGTGCTACTTGGGATTATATTTAATATAACAGTTACAAAGTTATTTACAAAAATTATTTTAATCTTTTTTTGATACAATTACAATTAAAGATGCACATTTAAACAATTATTAATTTAATTATTTGAGATCAAATTTTTTCCAATATTTCAATCAGTATTAATTACGGTGGCAAAGTATCATTAAAATAAATGGAATTTTGGTCACCGTAATTGATACACCGAAAGTGATGCAAACGCGTCGTAATATAAAATTACCGGTATTAGAATTATTAGTTTTAATTTCTTATATTTGTTTAAATTATCAATTTTTATGAAGACAAAATTTTTTTGAGCATCTAAATAACATAAGCTTTTATTATAAGTCTTAAATTGACTCTATACAATAGAAGTGTCAAATTTTCTATTTCAAAGGTGTTTTAACTCAAACCGAACCGTAATTAATTAGTGCCAAAGTGAAAGTCCATCTGCAATTGCATCGCCGATTTTTTTTTCTTTTAGTACTAATTGAGACTAGCTTCCATGAATTTAAAAAAAAAATTTTAGCAAGCCGTTTTCGACTTATAGAATTCTAAAAATTGAAAATTTTCATGAATTTAATTTTTGAATGCTCATAACTTCCTTAAAAATGCATCAATTTTAAAAGTTTTTTTTCAATATGTGAGTTTTTAAACGTATTTTTCAACAAAAAAATGGAAACTTTTTTTAAACGATATTACTATCAAATTTTTGAGTTTTAATGATAAAAAGTCATTTTTCTCCTTTGACAAACTGATCGATTTTTTTCAAAAAATTTTCAAAAAACTACTTCTTTTTACGACACTTTTAAGCCTATCCCGATACTGGGCAAACGATTTTTACAATATTTTCAAAATTTTTCAAAAATTATTGAATTTTTAAAAAATATTTTTGTCTTTTTTCAATTACGTACTTTAATGTATTTTGATACGCTGATTACGAAAATCATAGTGACAATACCCGAAGATTTTATTTCTTTGGTGAAAATAAAAAAAAAGTCCCAAAATTTATGGTTTTTTTCGTTTATTAGGTAAAATATGCAAAAATAAAAAAAATGCATTTGATATAAAAAATTTATTTTAATAAGATCTATAACTTTTGTTTAAACATTTTTTTAAAATTTTGCATATTTTACCCAATAAACGAAAAAATCCATAAATTTTGGGACTTTTTTTTTATTTTCACCAAATAAATAAAATCTTCAGGTATTGTCACTATGATTTTCGTAATCAGCGCATCAAAATACATAAAAGTACGTAGTATAAAAAAAACATAAATATTTTTAAAAAATTCAAATATTTTTAAAAAATTCAAAATTTTTTGAAAAATTCCGAAAATGTTGTAAAAATTGTTTGCCCATTATCGGGCTTGGTTAAAAAGTGTCGTAAAAAGAGGTAGTTTTTTTGAAAATTTTTTGAAAAAAATCGATCAGTACGTCAAATGAGAAAAATGATTTTTTATCATTAAAACTCAGAAACTTGATAGTAATATCGTTTAAAAAAAATTTCAATTTTTTTGTTGAAAAGTACGTTTAAAAACACACATTTAAAAAAAAGACTTTTAAATTTGATGCATTTTTAAGGAAGTTATGAGCATTCAAAAATTAAAAGACAAGAAAATTCTCCAATTTTCAAAATTCCATAACTCGAAAACGGCTTGCTAAAAAATTTTTTAAATTCATGGA